TAACGCATTAGTGCCCTGGCCCTCACCCTCCTACCCCAATTTGCACTAAAAATATATTAAAACAATTATTTTACTCACCTTTTTCCAGCGCTGAGACTCCTTTGGAGCATCACTTTCTTTTTGCTGGTCCAGTCCTAGAGCATTGGGGGCCTGATATTCAAGAGCATTCAAGTACGAATTCATCCAATATTTCTCATAGTAAAGCATTGAATCTAATGAGCTACAAGGTCACATGACCGAGTTTTATTTGATGTAGCAGAAGCACCTTGTGCACTGCAGGGGTTAATTCTAATAAATATAATAAAATAACATAATGACGCCATTTAATTGTCACTTTTCAGGAAACTTTGTAAATATGCCACATCGAGCAAATCTATTTGCGTTGGAAGCTTTTAGTGGCTGGCTGGCTGGCTGGCTGATATTAGGCCACAATTAGGCGTGGAAATAGCAAATTATATATTTCTTCAATTATATACTTCTGTGTTTATTTACAAAACTCCAGAGGCAGCATTTATGCCCAAAATCACTTTATTAAACTGATGTGATTTCAGAGTCTAAAGTATCCCTTTAAATCATAGTGTTACCGCAATTCCTTATCAATTATTTTCACTAAATGACACACTATTACAGTATCTCAACAACACAGCACATTAAATTAATCACACTTGCCTACTATAATTACGCAGATATACCTCTGCGATAATGGACCTGTAATAATGGTGAGATGAAATACATGTTTTTCATTAGTTCATTGTGCGGTTAGTCATGCAAGTAAAGCTTGGTTATAACAGCGATCGTAACAAATACGCTGTGAAAATCTGCAGGAAAACTATGATTCAGTAAAATACAATACAAGAGGTGTGTGACGGGATCATTTATACAGGAGGATTTTATCAGACCATGTCATTACCATTGCTGCCCAGAGGAATTATTATGTGGAAACCGAGAGATGAAGCATATCATTTAGGTTTTGATTTCAGAAACTGGAAACCAAATTATTTTCGTTTGCTCTTTTCCTGTGTATTATTGAACTATCCCTGGAGAATTCCAATCTCATCTGACAGTATTAAGTCTGGGGAATGTATCATCCCATAGGAAAAGGATACATTTTAAATCTGCTGTGAGAGGAAAAAATAAATAAGTGTAAGAGGTAAAATTGACTAATTAGACTGGCATGAGTGGCAATGCATGCTGGGAGAATCTGGGGAAGTTGATATTGCATAAACTAATCCATATGCTTCTTAAATTGTTTAGCAGTTTTATATTTTCAGTTTTTTGTTTCTGTACATTTCAATCCATCTGTCATTAAGCGCTTTTGTGTGGAACGTCCACAAACACCATTTAGAAATTATGCATAAAAATTTGTAGGCACAGCAGTAACTTTAATATCTGGTTATATTACATAATATATAAACCATTGATCTTGAAAGAGAGTGGAAGAAAAAAAATTACCTTAACAGTGGGGTTACAATTTTCACCGTAGTCGTTGTTGAGTACAAATTCAGCCATAGAAAGCAGAAATCCACACCTGGTGAGTATGTCACTGACACGCTAGGCTAGCCGTGGCAAGCAACCTCTAAGCCTTTGTAATAGTGCACAACAGTGAAGGGTGCATTATGGGAAAACAAAGCCATTGAGTGATTCTGTAGACATTCTTATAAACAATAGAGTTAAGCATAATTATTATTTTCTCCTAGTACATTCTTAGTGCTATGAATCTTTTATATTTGGATTAGAGTTGAGAATAAGGCTTCTTTAATCTTAGGACAGGTCCATGGTATACAAATCACTGCAGTCATAAACCAGTCAGTAGAGAAAGACAAGGAGACAAAGAGCAGAGTACATCAATATTTTTGCAGAGATGTACAGTTTTTCAGGACTGGGGTCATAGTTGTGTAGGCTGAAAAGAGACTCTTACACACCAAGTTCAGCCTTTCTCACATCTGCTACAGCTGTTGATCCAAAATAAGACTTGGTCTGAGAATGGCAGACAGAACTCTCTTTGGATCAAAAAGCTGTTACTTCACATGTTACAATTTATATCTTTGAATATTATGTGTTTTCAAGTATTAATCCAGTTGCTGTTTAAACATCTGTACAGACATTGATAAAACTACCTCTTCAGGCAGAGCATTCCATATCCTTATTGTTCTAAATTGACTAAATCTCCTTTCTTTCAGGTGGTGTCCTATGTATAGCCTTGTTTATAAATAGACAATGAAGACTGTCACGTCAAGGGTGCATAATTTATTATTACACTATGGAATATTATCCTTTAACCCTTTAAGGACAAAACTTCTGGAATAAAAGGGATCATGTCATGTGTCCTTAAGGGGTTAATGTACTTTTTGTAGTAAATGGCACAAATTACAGAGATGCTATTGCTGAGGTCAACAGGGGTTACATCTTTTGAAGCTGGGACCCCCACAGGTCAGATGACAGAAGGGGTAGTATGAATGGCGTAGGAATGTGAAAAGGATTTTACTATATGGATGTGAAGTAATCAAGGCTCTGCAAGGTGTGATGTTCTATACTTGGAAAAAGTCTGAATGTCTCTTCATCCATTTGGCATGTACCTTGTAAAGGATAGTTCAATCCTTTGATACGGTAATGGGATTAGTTTCATGAAGATCCTTGTGTTCCAGTATCCAAGTGAAACATTAAAGGACCACTCTAGGCACCCAGACCACTTCAGCTTAATGAAGTGGTCTGGGTGCCAGGTCCTTCTAGGGTTAACCCATTTTTTCATAATTATAGCAGTTTCAGAGAAACTGCTATAATTATGAATGGGTTAAGCCTTCCCCCTACTCCTCTAGTGGCTGTCTCATTGACAGCCACTAGAGGCGCTTGCGTGCTTCTCACTGTGAAAATCACAGTGAGAGCACGCCAGCGTCCATAGGAAAGCATTGTAAATGCTTTCCTATGAGACCGGCTGAATGCGCGCGCAGCTCTTGCCGCGCGTGCGCATTCAGCTGGCGGGGCGTAGGCGGAGAGGAGGAGGAGAGCTCTCCGCCCAGCGCTGGAAAAAGGTAAGTTTTTACCCCTTTCCCCCTTCCAGAGCCGGGCGGGAGGGGGTCCCTGAGGGTGGGGGCACCCTCAGGGCACTATAGTGCCAGGAAAACGAGTATGTTTTCCTGGCACTATAGTGGTCCTTTAATACTTACCCACAGTTTAATAATTAAGTCTCATTTTTATTATATTTGGAATGGGACAAGCCCAATCTCTTAATTAAGCCTAAACATAAGTTGCACAACTTAAACCGTGTGGCAGGAATTGTGATGTCTGTCCTATTGGATCATGGGCAGGGCATGCAACATGTCTATGGAATGGGAAAATAATAAATTCATAGAGGCAATTATTATTTCTGTGGCAAGTACAGTAGAGGAGATAAAACCAAAAGTTTATATTTGGCTTGTTGTTTTCTGGAACAAAGGAGGTGGTCACTTAGTATCTCTATAGGTACGCCTTGACTCCAAGCCTGGGTGAGGCGTGGTAATTCACAGGGTATATCTCTAATGATCCTGAAGGGTGCTAGTGTACTTTCTTGGGGCCAAGATCTAATTTTGAGTGAGTCACCATCTTTCCTTGCCAGAGACCCCCTGGACAGAAGTTGTACTTTGAAAACCTAGTAATTAGGACTTCTGTATTTTATCCTTTTTGTTTTTATCTGTTGTTGGTGTAAATAATTTGTTTGTCATTATTTCCAGTCTAGTGCAGACAAATAGTGGATTTTAACCCTTTCACTACCACAACTACGTCACGCACACTCTTGGAGTAGGGTGCGTTCGTGACAAAGACCTTCTGACATCTGGAGCGGGAGACCCTGGATTTGAGTGGCAGGAACGGGGGACAAAGGGAGCAAAGTCCCTTTTCCGTGCTAAGACCCTTGGGGGGGGGACGTTGGGATGGGACCCTGCTGGGGTTGCATGGGGCTTTGCATAAAAGTCGAGTGTAGAAGTGTAGAATAATAAAATTGAGTTGTACCTCCAGAACTAGGTGTTGTCCAGTTACTGGGGGAAAATGGATCTCTGTGTCTGCTAAGTGGGTCCGGAATGACTGACAGAAGGGAATTGGCAGAGGTAACAAGTCGGGTTACCCTTGGTGCGCTACAGTATCAAACACCTTGGCAAAATCCAAGTAGATCACATCCACTGCAACACCCTACTCTATGCTTTTATTTATTTCTTCATAGAATGCAATTACTTTAGTTTCAATTCCTAAAACTATGCCGATTTGAATGAATTCTTGAATAGCATCTCTCAACAGCAGTATATATAATTTCTCCACCACAGACGTTAAGCTCCCAGGCTTGTATTATCCTTTAATTTCTGGATTGTGCTTTTGAACTCTTTTTAAACATAGGCACCACAGCTGCTTTTTATCAATTATCTGGTACAATTCCTGAATTAAAAAAATTCTGACTGTGACAAACTTCCTGTCCCACGTGAGTTTGCCACAAGCCCCTGGAGGGGCCTACTTGCCAGCCTCCTGCCCACAGACTATGGACCCTGCAGAAAAAACCACCACAATGGCCGACCCTCTGGTGTCTGGCTGCCCCAACTAAACCAAAGGCCCTGTCCCTCTGTTATATAGCGGGGCTAGAATTACAACCTAGAAGACCGGAGCATTGTAGATTCCACTGGGAGAGAGATAGTGGAGGATTGTTAACAGAGGCTAAATTGCTTCGGGCACTTAACCACTTATCAAACTGGACTAAATGTAATACCCATATTGAGGCCCACAGGAAACTCCTCTACCGTTGGTACATGACACCCTACAAACTAAACAAAATATATCCAGCGGTGCCCACGAAATGTTGGAGATGCCTGGGGGAGGAGGGGACCTTGCTCCATGTGTGGTAGACCTGCACTGGGATACATCCACTATTGACGGAAGTCCAATCATTACTGGATAAATTATGAGTGCATGGGTTCCCAATGACTGTCTCTACTTGTCTTCTATTGTTATTTGACAGTGACGTCCATTATTCCTACCACCGGATGGTGGCCCTCACCGTTCTTGCAGCCCGTAATCTGATTGCAACGTACTGGAAATCCTTGGTGTGTCCATCCCTCAACCAACTTAAGGACAAACTTCGACAGTTTTATGTATATAAGCGTATGTCTCTAGACTCCCCGACCAAAAGCAAGAAATTCCATGAAACATGGGCTCCATGGCTGTCCCTGATGAGTTCTAATGATGGCAGTTGTAGGACCCCTAGTTGACAGTTGCACCCGGTGTGCCATCTCCCATAGTCTCCCTAACCATCATTATAGCCAAAACATTCTAAACAAGGGACTGCTCCTTGCAGCATCACTACTCACTGGTAGAGAAACATTTCCCTCTCTTAAGATACATAACAGGGCCTCTTCCCACTTACAGACCGACAGGGGGGCCACCCAGATCCTTCAGGGCTGGGGCCTAAGTACTACTACTGTGATTGTCCGTTGGACCGTTTTACCTCAGACCTAGATGTTCAAGATGTTCATTATGTTGATACATGTTACTTTGTTTATATAATGACGCTTTTTTTTTTACTTTTCTAATAAGTCCCTAGAGTCAGGGCCGGTGCAATGATTTTTGGGTACACAGGCGAAGATCATTTTGCCCCAAAAGCATCTTCAACTGTGTGCCTCTTTTGTGTCTTATCCCCTCTTTTACATTTTACACCCTATTTTTCCCCATTGTGTGTCTTACACCTCCCTTGTGTAGCTCTTTCAACCCCCTTTTGTGTGTCTTACCCCCCCAGCCCCTTTGTGTGTCTCCTTCTCTGCCAGCCCCTTTGTGTCTTTTAATCTTACCAGTTCCTTTGTGTGTTTCTCTTTCACCCCCAGCTGATCTATCTCCTCCCCATCCCCTCTATGTCTCTTTCTCCTCTTCTCTAGCCCCTCTGTGTCTCTTTCACCCCCCAGTTCCTTTGTTTCCCCCCCAGACCGCTCTGTGTGTCTCTTACATACCCAGCCCTATCTGTGTGTCTTTCCCTCATGTCCCTCTGTGTGTCTTTCTCCCCACTCAGACTCCCCTGTGTGCCACTCTCCCCTCCATGTCCATTAGTGTTCCTCTCCCCTGCCTTCATCTCCTATCCCTCCACTATCCCTTAGTGTCCCCCCCTCTTTAGTGGTCCTCTTCTCTGTCCCTTAGTGTTCCTATCTCCTCCCCTCCATGTCCCTTCCGGGTTCTCTCCTCTCCCTTCCCTGTCTTTTCGTGCCCCCTCACTCTTCCTTAGTTTTCCTCCCCCCTACTTTTAGTGTTCCTCGCCCCTCCATTCCCCCTCTTTTAGAGGTCCCCCCCCCTTAATGTTCCTTTTCTGTTCCCTCCCCTGTCTCTTAGTGTCCCTCTCCCCCTGTGGTCCTCTCCTCTCCCTTCCCTGTCTCTTGGTGCCCCCCTCATCCCCTGTGCGCTTCCCTCCTGCCTGTCACTCGAATCTAGCACCCCTTGGGCCAGTGCGCCCTAAGGTGGCCTAGAGTGCAATAATTTTGAATAGCACATGCTCTTGTGCTGTAATGTTGGCCAAGGGAATTGAGTATGGGAACTTAAGAGGCATGCAGGGAAACAAAACTTGTTGCCTATGAATAATTAAAGGAACACTCCAGGCCCCATAACAACTTCATCTAAATGAAGGTATTATGGTGCCAGCAGGCCCCTGGGCACCCTCTTACCTCAATGGGTTAAACTCTTCTCGAATGGTCTAACTCCAAAGTTGCTTCCAGACCTGATCTCAACTTCCCCCAGGCAGCATCCAGCTTCTGAAATGTCAGTTTATTGGCTGAGGTTGGCATGTGCATGCAAGCGTGTTTGTGTGTAATGTTGGCATTTGAATGCAGGTGTCATTTGATGCTCTTAGACAATCAGGGACTCCCCATTTACAAAACTGGATTGGGAAGACACATACCTTTGTCCCTGTAAAGCTGACTTTACACACTGTGCAAATGATCTTGCTGCCTATTTCTCTCTAACGGTATGGCATATCCACTTCCCACTACACTCAATACATCCACCTTTTTCTAAGTCCCAAACTTGCAAGAATGGAAGGAGACAAGTGGACCGGATGACTGCTGAGGAGAGAGGATTCAAGGTTTATGATTAGTTAGAGAGAGGAGTTGAGAGCTGTTGGGCTTGTAAGATAAACAGATATATTTGGCTTGAAAGATGGAAACGAGAGAGTAACATAGGTTATGAGTATTCTTAAAAGTACATTCTCTGAGTTTCCCTCTGGTAGCACCTCCACCAGAAACAAGATGCTGATATTATAATCGTCGGCACCAGGCCCAATTGCCTCTAAATCCATCACTGGTGACCTAGGAATGGTTATTTCAGTTTTACTGACGAATAAACTGCTACAAGATATAGTCAGTTTTAAGTGCTATATTATTATTATTATTATTATTATTATTGCCATTTATATAGCGCCAACAGATTGCGTAGCGCTTTACAATATTATGAGAGGGGGGATGTAACTATAAATAGGACAATAACAAGAAAACTTACAGGAATAATAGGTTGAAGAGGACCCTGCTCAAACGAGCTTACAGTCTATAGGAGGTGGGGTATAAGACACATTAGGATGGAAATATCAGTCAAATAGGGTGGGAGTGAAGCAGAGCTGGAGGAGAGAGTAAAGCACTGCCCTATAGGAGAGAGCAAGAGACAGGTATGTAAGGTAGAGGTTACTCTGGGAGGCCATAAGCTTTCCTGAAGAGATGGGTTTTAAGTCCCTTCTTAAATGATTGAAGACTAGGGGAGAGTCTGATGGCGGTAGGCAGGCTATTCCATAGGAAAGGAGAGGTCATGCAAGCATGAGTTAGCCCTACTGGTGCGAGCAGCTGTCAGGAGGTGGTCACGGGCAGAGCAGAGGGAACAAGGAGGGGTATACCTATGGATCAGTGAAGAGATATAAGAGGGGCTAGAATTGTTCAATGCTTTAAATGTATGGGTTAGCACCTTGAATTGACTCCTATAGGATACAGGGAGCCAATGTAAGGACTGGCAGAGGGGTGAGGTGTGAGAGGACCGACTAGAGAGGAAAATCAGTCTAGCTGCAGCATTCATTACAGACTGTAGCGGGGCAATACGGCTTTTGGGGAGACCAATCAGGAGAGGGTTACAGTAATCCATGCAGGAAATTACTAGAGCATGGACAAGCTCCTTGGTAGCATCTTGCGTAAGAAAGGGGTGGATGCGGGCTATGCTTTTAAGTTGGAAGCTACAGAATTTGGCAACAAACTGGATGTGAGGCTCAAAGGTGAGGCCAGAGTCAAGTATGATGCCAAGACAGCGCACTTGCAAGGATGGACTTATGTGGATATCACTGACTTGAAGGGAGAGCGAGAGAGGAGGATCCATATTAGGAGGAGGAAAGTCAAGGAGTTCAGTTTTAGAGAGATTGAGTTTCAGAAAGCATGAGGACATCCAGTCAGAGATAGAAGAAAAGCAAGCAGTGACACATTGCAGGACGGCAGGGGAGAGGTCTGGGGAGGAGAGGTATATCTGAGTGTCATCAGCATACAGGTGGTAGTGGAATCCAAAAGAGGCAATAAGTTTGCCAAGAGAGGCAGTATAAAAAGAAAATAGAAGGGGACCAAGGAGAGAGCCTTGGGGTACTCCAACTGAGTCAGGATGAAGGGAGGAGGTATTATTAGAAAATGAGGCACTGAATGAGCGTTGGGAGACATAGGAGGAAAACCAAGAGAGGACAGAGTCACAGAGACCGAGTGATTGAAGAGTTTGAAGGAGGAGCACATGATCAACGGTGTCAAAGGCAGCAGAGAGGTCAAGGAGAAATAATATGGAGTAGTGACCTTTGGATTTAGCTGCGATTAGGTCATTAGTAACTTTGATAAGAGCAGTCTCAGTAGAGTGGAGAGGGCGGAAGCCAGACTGAAGAGGGTCAAGGAGAGAGTTGGAATTGAGGAAGTCAGACACATGGGTAAAGACAAGTCATTCCAAAAGCTTTGATGAGAAAGGGAACAGGGATATGGGACGATAGTTAGAGGGGGAGGATGGGTCAAGAGATGTTTTTACAGGATAGGTACTACGGTGGCATGTTTAAGGTCAGCAGGAACAGTGCCAGAAGAGAAAGAGCAGTTGGGACAGGATCGAGCGGGCAAGTGGTGGGGCGAGAGGAATGGAGAAGCGCAGCCACCTCTTGTTCAGTAGCTGGGGAGAAAGTCCGAAGGGTAGGGAAGGCATGATTTACGTGTGGTTGAGAAAGAGAATAGCAAGGAGGGGAAAAAATATTATGGAGTGCAAAGGTAATGACCCAGAGCAATTTTTATAAATTATATTTCCTGCCATTCACTAAACAAGTTAGCAGCATGCCTAGAGATACATGGTATAATCCTCTAACCTGTAAAGTGGATTATAATATTTTTGCCATTCTGATCATGTAAAAAGTAATCTAACCTGTGAATTCAAATGCACTACTGCAAAAGGAAAGGTATTCAAAACACTATTTCAGGATGTGACTTAGAAAATATGAACTAGTTTCCATCCTTCAAACAAATTAAAAATGTGGAGAAAAAAAACACTAATCTAAAATATCACTTTTACATTGCTGTCCACATGACCTTAAAAAATATATATATGCAATTATAATTCATATATAATATATATCATAACACCACAAGAAGAGTCTGACATATTTGTACAATTTTGCAAGAATAAATATAGTTGCAAAATCCCTTCCTGTGCTAACCCAAATCAGTTATCAATCACTAGGGGTCACTGTTTCTAGCACCGTAATTGTTGTACCATTCTGTTAATGTCCCTACATCCGCTAAGGAGCATAGGTGGCCAATTGGTAGATTACTGTAGCTGTATCCTTGCACTCAGGCTGAATTTGATGTGGATGGGTTCCAGTACCAGAGGACAAATGTTGTATAAAGTTCAAATGTTAGAAAGACTCACGGTCTTGTTGAATAGAATACATTTCTTTATTGAGGGTCCATGGATCAACGTTTCAGTCCCGTACCGGGTCTTTCATCAGGATAAGGATAACATTACAATATAAAACAAACATTTATATAGGAACAGTAATGAAGGTCTGCCTTACCACAGGTGTGCTCAGTGCAATTCCCAGCATCTGCGTGTGCCCTGTGTGCATGCGTGTACATAGCTCCGCCCCCGGTTGTGACGTAGTACTGGTAGATTAGGTATAATAGGTAAATCCTCAGGTGCCATACAAATCCTATGATGATTTGCCAGCTGTGGGTCTGCTATTTACCCATTCTTGCAGGATTCTATTTTTAAGTAGTATGTGTGAATATAGGCATGTTTTTGTATGAAGTATACTTGTGAGAATGTTTGTGTATAATGCTGATGTTTGAATGTCGGGGGTTCGTTTGTGTCTAGTGCAGACATTTAAATATTATGGGGGGGTATAGTGTTGCTTTTTGAATGCAATACTTCTTATGCAGTGTTAGTGTATGAATGCATGGTTATGTTGGCATGTGAATGGAGGGGTGTCTTTGTATGTAATATTGGTAATTGCAATTTACCATTAATGACAAGTTTCTGTACTCTTTCGTGAAGTCAATGTTCTACCCAAGAACAAGATTTTTCATATAAATCATCTAATTTATTTTAGAACACTAACCCTATTTGAGGAACAGTATCAAAGTAGAGCACATCAACTGCAACACCCTATCTATAATTATACTTCTATTTATTTCTTCATTGAAGAACAATAATTTTCATGATATTACTGTGATTTTGATTATTTTTTTCATATTGAGACAATCATCTCTGTGTGTGAGGGGCAGGGAGCTCCATTGTTTTCTCGGCTGTTAGCATACAGGACTGGCAAGGTTATTGTGATCTGAATTCTTCTGAAAATAAAAATAGTGGAGGGTTTGTGTTGGGTATTTTGCAGGACATTTGCAAGTCTAGCACTGTATGAGTTTATGTTTTGGCTGATGGCCCACAATATCAATGTTCTCTAGGCCTGGGTAGACCAAGTGGGATGTTTTCTTCCTGGTGGACTGCAGTGTCTTATGTTAACCAGACTACTAGCCTACCATGAGTTCCTATGATGTCTGTAGAGGTGTGAGAAATACTCCTAGGCATGCACAGATTGTCCTTTCCTACTGATGAGGTGTGATGCATATTGCTGGAATATATGACAGCACACATTGCAACTCAAGCAACTATCTGTCAAATCTATATATCACATACTCCATGTGAGTACAGCCATCCATACTGAGCTCTGTGAGTTAAGTGCACAAAATAAGGCCATCTGCTTATGCTTGCCCTGTAAACTAAACATTACCAGACATCCAGTTTGGTAAAGGTACTAAAACAAAAATGTTTTGGGGGGACACTGGAATTAATGCTGCCCAATTTAAAATAGTGATTTTCTTTTACAAGGACAAAATCAGCATGCAGTTTTAAAAAAAAATTGGTCTGGTTTTGTGCTTAATATGATAAAATAAATAAAACATGCATTTGCAAATTAGTCTCTTGAAGAAATGACCCTCTGCTTTGGTCATTTATATTTCTTTCAGTATAAATAGTACTATTTTGATACATATAAATAATGTGTTTTGACAGAGCATTTGAAGACAAATCCCTTCTTTTAAGCTTGCATTTTGTTGTAACATGGGGTCTACTGTACTCAAATGTGTCTACTGACAGTGCATATTTAAGCTCTTGCTTGTATATATATTTTTAAATCTCATCTGTATATACGGATCATTAACATTTCTTTTTCCTATTACAGATCAGAAGCAACAAAATGCCATTTCTCAAACCAGCATTTGCGTAACATAACTTACCACGTAAGCCAGTGATACAGAACTTGGGAAATTATGTGGTATACAAACCTCAGTGCATCGAAGAACGCGACAGACATTCATTCTGCTAGCCTCGGACTGGTACTGGGGTGCATTTCATTTTTTACTGTTATCTTGAACATTTTGGTTTTGTATGCAGTTAAGATTGAGCGGACACTTCACACTGTTGGTAACTTATACATCGTCAGTCTATCCATTGCTGATCTTATTGTGGGTATGGCTGTCATGCCACTGAACATTATCTATCTTATCAATGACAAATGGGTCCTGGGAAGGCCAGCCTGTTTATTTTGGCTCTCGATGGATTATGTAGCAAGCACGGCCTCTATATTTAGTCTTTTCATATTGTGCATTGATCGCTATCGCTCCATTCAGCAGCCATTGCAGTATTTGAAATATCGGACTAAGACCAGGGCTTCAGTGATGATTTCTGGAGCATGGCTTCTTTCTTGCATGTGGATCATCCCTATTTTAGGTTGGCATGTATTTGCAAATGGTGGAAACAGATCTGTGCCTGAACATACATGTGAAACCGAGTTCCATAAGGTGACTTGGTTTAAAGTGCTCACTGCCATATTGAATTTCTATATCCCTTCCTTGTTAATGTTGTGGTTCTATGCTAAAATTTATAAAGCAGTAAGGGAACACTACCAGCATAGAGTTCTTATCAACGGCTCATTCCAGTTATATTATGACAGTAAATTTGTGAGAAATGTTAAAGTGCTGAAGAAGACAGAGGATTGTATTCATAACCAGTGTTCTAATGGGATGCTTATGGTTCCCAAAACAAATTGTCAAACTCATTACACGGCAGTCTCAAAGGTTTTCACTCAACAAAGTACTTTGCAAGACCATTTCCAGCTGGAGGGTTTTGAAACCCAGCAGGAGTTTGACACATGTGACAATAAAGTGGTCAAATTGCACTGTTTTCCTCTCACAATCCTGAAGACTCACCCAGAAGAATGCAGGAATTATGTAACTGTCACTAGGGGGAAATTAAAAGACCATCACTGTTGTGAAAACCAAGAGTTGACAGATATATCTGAAGAACATACGTTTGCTGAAGCTCCTTCGTGTATTATGGAAACCAGTCGGATAGAGGAATCCAATGTTGTGCCATCTGAGAGGATAGATGGTCCTGTATCAGGGAACCTTAGCTACCTGAAGCACACTTGGCAAAGGATTCGCTCTCATTCCAAGCAGCACATTCAAGGACTTCACATGAACAGGGAGAGAAAAGCCGCCAAGCAATTGGGCTTCATCATGGCAGCTTTTATGTTATGTTGGATCCCATATTTTGTCTTATTCATGGTAATAGCATTTTGCCAAAACTGCTTCAATCACAATTTCCATATGTTTACTATATGGCTGGGATATGTAAACTCAACACTGAACCCCCTGATTTATCCTTTGTGTAACGAGAACTTTAAAAAGACATTTAAAAAGATCTTTCATGTTGAACTGTACTGCACTGTGTGCAAGAAAGAAAAATGTACGTCCTGCACCTTGAAATGAACACAATTAATAATTATCATCATCTTCTCCTACTGTTGGAAAGACGGGTGTGACTGATTTGAATATATATTAATATATTTATTGAGTATCGTTGGATTGTGCTTGAGATTTTGTTCATCATCAATACATGTTCTCAAATCTGATGAAAGTCTAAAAAAAGCTACTTGAGCCATTGTAACTATGTGTGATATTTAGAATATGAGTGAAGTTAAGAACCAATTCCCTAGTGTGTGGGAAGAACATTCAGTTCAATCAAAACTGATTTATTGCATCCCATAATATAAAGGTGTGATGGTTTCCAAAAGTAATGCATTTGGTGCAATACTTATCTATACATGAGAAAGAATGGCCAATTGACTATGATATGAGATATGGGACAAAATAAATGAAGAGAAAGAATTATATTTTATATATAATAGAGGAACGGATAAGGTGTTTGTTTTTTGCACATTACATTGAAAGAAATCCTTACTTATAATAACTTATGAAGCATATTATTTTTTGTTTACGTGCTTTAACCACAACTTGTCTTGCCCATCTGTTTCACCTTTCCCCATCTTGTAAGGTTGCAGCTCTTGATAAATTATTGTCTTATCAAAATGGTGCTCAGTATTAGTCACTTTAGTTCTGTTTAGCCAGAAAGACTATGAATGTATCTTGTGTGGACTCCACTATATCCACCTTGCAGATTTCTTGGTTGTTCAGATTAAATTACTTTGGTGATATCATTAACAACAGATATATGAAGCATGTATCCTGTATGACAGATTGTCAGCTCAGTCAACCATGTTTATTTCTCATGGACATTATCTTTAGAATGCCAGATCTGCTATTAGCCCCCAAAACTGAAAACAAGTTAATTCGTTATGTAATAAGAATATATAGGACTACTGTTTTATTCATTAAAGTCCAACCACTGCCATTTTCACCTAATGCAAATATGAATACACACTGATTGAAGAAATCACAAATTAAGATATACTTTAATGAATCTGTATCATGTGCATTGTGAATTTTCAACGAGAACAAGCTAAATATGGATGATTTTCTATGTTTGTTCAGTGGTTTAAATTTCAGAGAAGTGACAGTTTTCCCTTAAAGGTTTAAAAAAATGACGGGTCTAGAATAAATATTATCATTCAGGTAAGTAAAGCAAGCCACCTGGCAAGTTATATATGAATTAGAATGTTTTGGGTCCAAATAATCAGAGTTGTTTTAAATGTTTTTTGTTTCGTACGTAATAAAGGCAGTCAGACAGCAAATTTACTAATGCAGTTTCACGTGTGTCTACGCAGAGACTAATTAAATCATCCAAAAGCAAATTAATATATCTAAATAAATAGAAATAAGTATGCATAATGAAACAGAACTGCTTCCGATAACCATATACAGCATTAGGTAGGTCGTTTATTCAGATGGTTAAGAATCAGAATTGTTTATAATACTTACCAAGTAAACCGTATAAAAAAATATTAGAATTGCATTTTCTGTGCTTTAAAAATTAGATTTAATACAAAACTGTTGCTATGGAAAAATATAAAGTTATTTTTTTTATGGCGTATTATGGAGGTATACTATATGTGTAAAAAGATAACTGCCAATATGATGGATATATTTGTATAGCCATTTTAACTGCAATTAACCAGAAAAAAAATGTTTCACAATCAAAATATATTAGTTAAGACAAAAGTTTTCACATTTTGAATAAATGGAACGCTATGGCATTTCAAATGATTTTGCTTCACCCTACATTTACCGTATATACTCGAGTATAAGTCGAGTTTTTCAGCACATTTTTGTGCAGAAAACCCCCCCACTCGACTTATACTCGAGTTAATGTCTGTATTATGGCAACTTACATTGGACTTGTAATGAGTCCTGTAGGGGGCTGGCAGAGTGCTGTTACTTACCTTTCCTGCAGCTCCTGTCAGCTCCCTTCTCTCTCCTCTGTTCCGGTCAGCTCCCCTGTCAGCTCCACTGTAAATCTCGCGAGAGCCGCAGGGAACGCTCCGCACGGCCATGAGACTTACAGTGGAGGAGAAGGGAGCTGACCGGAACGGAGGAAAGAGAAGGGAGCTGACAGGAGCTGCAGGAAAGGTACGTAACAGCTCTCTGCCAGCCCCCCTCCTGCACAGCCCATCCACTGGACCACCAGGGAATGAGAGCCCCCCCTCCCTGGCCAGCAAACAAGCAGGGGGGGGGGGACGAAAATAAATATAAATAAAAAATTAAATAAAAATATAATAAAAAAATATTGATAATATATATAAAAAAATTAATAATAATAATAATAATAATTTTAAAAAATAATTAAAATGCCCACCCCCCCACCAAGGCTCTGCATCACATACACACACTGCACTCATACACACACTGCACTCATACACACACACACTGCATTCATACACACACACACACACTGAACTCATACACACACACACACACTGAACTCATACACACACATACTGTATTCATACACACACTGCATTCATACAAACACACTGCATTATATACACACACACTGCATTCATTATATACACGCACTGTAAATAAATATTCAATTAATATAATTTTGGGGGGATCTAATTTTATTTAGAAATTTACCAGTAGCCGCTGCATTTCCCACCCTTGTCTTATACTCGAGTCAATACATTTTCCCAGTTTTTTGGGGTAAAATTAGGGGTCTCGACTTATATTCGGGTCGACTTATACTCGAGTATATACGGTAAATAATATCAAGCCGTTTAATCAGAAAACACAATTACAATCCATCCAAATAATCCACTCTATTGAATTAAAAAAATACTACTGTAAAAAAATTTTTGAATGGTATGCTGTAGAAATGAGTTATTTAATGAATATATCTTTTGTTTATGTGGTATTTTTCATTTGTACATTAGAGGGAAACATCTATACACGATGTATGAAATGCGTGTTTTATTAGACCCAGACTTCCTACTGTTTGGGCAATATAGTCAGAAAAGATTTGAATGGGTTTTTCAAAACGGACTTACCTACATAAAAGGTTTTATGTTTCGTGTTTAGACAGCAATTCTCGGATAAAGTTTTAAAAGTAGAGTGATCACCATGGAAACCAATGGAATGATCCTGCTGTTTGTTTCATTCGTACAACTTTGCCACAAGAATTTTCTATATATGTAATTTCCCGCCTTCTAAAGAGGAGAAAATTGCAAAGAACACTTTCAAGAATTTATAATATTTTGTTGCAAACTGTCCTTTATAGAGAGGCAGATATTATTTTACAATTATTAGACTGCACTTAATAATTAACAGAAAACTCCAATTCTTTGCAGAGACCACTTTTCTGAAACACCGTGTAGAATACATTCTTTTTATTTTGATAAACATCTGTATATATATATATATATATATATATATATGTGCCATTTAAAAAAAATAATAATTATATATTCACATTATATGATCTGCCGGGAAAATAATGTTATTAAAATTCAGACTGTACAGTGGGTAAGTTCATCCATACATTATTATATTTATATTATTATTATAAGTAATGCATAGTGTAATTGACACAGTGCACAATTAGTAGCACTAAATTTGAGGAGCAGTGAGACATATATGTCCTGCCCAAAATTAGTGGGGGTTCTGCCCCAGACAGAAGCTTCTGTTTGACGCTACAGTAGTTTTTATTCAGAGCTCTCTCAGTAACCTTGTTACGTGAAAGGAAGGCTCTCCTCAGTTCCTCTGCTGACATATCACTATTGGGAGAGGAGGTAAACAGGCAACGGTAATCAATCTTAGGCAGACATGCCATGGTGCTGACTTGAGATTGAAGAAACCTTAACAGTAGTTCTAACCCTAATCAGTAACCCTAGTCCTAATCCCCCACCCCAGAAAAAAAAATAAAAAAAATATATATATATATATATATATATATGTATGTATTTAATTTTTATTTCCTGCACAACACTTGAAGGCATCTAAAGCTTGATTTTCAGGACTGACCTTCACATGACAAAACCTCATTAATAAATAGAGGTTCTGTTCCTGTAACTATGTGTACAGACTAGGGGTGCAGCGAAATTTCGGCTGCCAAAATTTTCGGCCGAAAATGGGCCTATCCCGTTTCGGCCGAAAACGGGTCAACTTTTCCGAATTTAAAAAAAGGGGGAAGAACACTATGGACAGGGGAGAGGGAAGAACAATATGGGACAGGGAGGAAAAAAGAACAATATGGGACAGGGGATGGGGATGGGGAAGAACAATATGGGACAGGATGGGGGATGGGGAAGAACACTATGGACGGGAGATCACTTTTAGGATGGGGAGAATACTATAGGACAGGGGGGGGAGAATACATTAGGACAGGGGAGGGAAAAGAATACTGTAGGACAGGGGAGGGGGGAATACTATAGGACAGGCGAGGGGGAGAGAACACTGTGGGCCAGGCGAGGGGGGAGAACACTATGGGACAGGTGAGGGGGGTAGAACACTATGGGACAGGAGAGGGGGGAGAACACTATGGGACAGGGGAGGGGGGAGAACACTATGGGACAGGGGGAAGAACACTATGGGACAGGAAGGGGTAGGGAAAGAACACTATGGGACAGGAGGGGGTAGGGAAAGAACACTATGGGATAGGAGAGGGGGGAGAGAACACTATGGGATGTGGGAAAAAACACTGGAACAAGGGAGGGGAGAAAAGAACACTATGGAACTGGAGAGGAGGGGGGAAAGAACACTAAAAAAGAGGGAGGGGAGAGGAACACTAGAGGGGGGAGAGAGGAACATTAAGTGTGGGGGGGACCACTAAAAGAGAAGGGAAGTTTTTCATATTAGATTAATTAAATTCATTAAAAAGTCTAATATTTCGGTTTCGGTTTTTGGCCAAGGGCATCCTGAATTTTCAGTTTCGGTTTCGGCCCAGAATTTTCATTTCGGTGCACCCCTAGTACAGACATGGTGCAAATTTACATCTACAACACCATCATCTGATGTTGTGACTTTATCATTCAGGAGGTTCCTGTACACTGTGCCAGCATGCTTGAAATATTTCTGTATTATCCACCTTAATGCAAAATATACTGTTTTTATTTTGGAACTTATGTATCAAATGTCAATTGTCCTTTTCATTTGTAAATGCTAAATTGTATAGTTGTGTATTTGTAAGTCATAAAATTGTGTGTTTTGTAGTACTTGGTGTAAGTACTTTAATATGTTATGCTGCATGTTCAGTCCTTATAATCCTGTGATACAAGCCTTGAACTATGAACAGGGTGTTTTGTCATCCTGATGTAGAAATATATCAACAAACATTAAGGGTAAAATAAAAATGGACAGGGCAACACAAGAGAATGGCCCTGATTAGTCAAGGTCAAGGACAAGGACACCAGGGCTAAACAGAAGGATAAAACTACCTGGGTCATGGGTAATGGAACTATAGATCAGAAAATGAGAATGCCTGGTCAAGGGACAAAGCTAATCAGAAGAGAAGGTAAGCCAAGCCTGGTCAAAAACAAATAAAAAATAGTATTAGCAAAAACAGATCAGGGTCGGCCTGTGCGAACAATCTTCACAGCGCCTTCCCCCCTTTCCCCCATGTATTATGTAATGTTTGTGTTTTCTGTGTATGTGATAGATGTGATGACTGTGTGTGATATGTATGCTATGTGATGGCTGTGTGTGATATTTGTAATGGGTGTATTAACAGTGTGTAATATGGGTTTATTGGCTGTGTGTGATGGTTATTTAATTCAGATAAAAACATGCATTTAGGCCTGTGTGTGAATGCAGGTGTATATTTTTGCAGAGCTATGTGCACACATTCCCACAGTCAGATGCACACAGTTATACATATACACTGTCAAATCCACCAAATGCACATAGTCGCAGGCAGATAGTCACATACACAGGATCAGGCAGAAACACACAGGTAAAGGCAGTAACACACATACAGAGTTACAGGTAGATAAACACACTCACACACAATTACAGGCAGACAGCCACACACACACAGCCACACATCCAGTTTTACACACACACACACACACAGCCACACATACAGTCTTACACACACATACTTACATGCAGACTGTCACACACACACACACACACAGGCAGCAACATACATACACACACAGGCAGACAGCCACACACACATACAGAGGCAGAAACCCACATACACACGCAGACAGCCACACACATACACACAGGCAGACAGACACACACACACACAGAGGCAGGCAGCCATCCACAAACACAGGAAGACATCCACAAACACAGAGGCAGGCAGTCACACACACACACAAGCAGGGA